AAGTAGCTCCACTCCAAGCCCCCCAGAGCACCTTGCCTGAAGACCCCAAAAACCAGCTTCCCTGATGCAGCCCTTCCTCCAAGCCCCCAAAGTGGCTCCCCTAAAGCAGCTCCCCCAACTCCAAGGCCTCCAAAAGCTTCTCCCCATATTGCAGTTCCCCTCAAAACCCCCAAAAGCAGCTCCTCTCAAAGCAGTTCGCCCCAAACCTCCCAAAAGTGGATTCCCCTGAATCAGCTCCCCCCTGCAAGCCCCTCAAAAGCATCTCCCCCAAACCTCCAAAAGTGGTTCCCCCCAAAGCAGTTTCCCCCAAAAGCAGCTCCCTCCAAGCCCTCCAAAAGCATCCTCCCCAAAAGCAGTTCCCCTTCCAAGCCCCCCCAAACAGTTTTCCCTTCAAACCCCTCAAAGTTGCAGCCCCCCACCCTTTGTCACACAACAGCCAAGCTCCCCCGGGAAAATGACATAAAAGACTTCTCCTTTCATCAGTAAAAATACACTTTTTTGGGGGGGGCCAGTGACACCCCTCAGCGGGGAGAGGGGCTGTGGCCACACAGTGGCTGGCACCCCCCGGAAGGACCCCCCACACCCCCTCAGGAGCCCTGACCTCTGGCAAAATTATCAAATACAGTATTTACAAACAAACAAACAAACAAAAAAACCCAACGAATAAATAGCGGCAATCCTTAAAAAAAACCCCGCCCCTCTCCCTCCCCTTCCTTGCAGTTTTCCCGCTCATCCATCGGTGGCCAGGATCACCACAGCCCCGAAAATGCCGACATTCTGGCCGATGAGCTTCATCTGGTTCCAGAATTCAACGCGGCGGGCGGCGTGCCAGTACCCCAGGTTGCCATCGATGAGCAGGATAGCGAGGGGCAGCAGCACTGCCAGCACCTGGGCAGCTGCCCGCACGTAGTATCCCGACAGGAATGCCAGGGCCAGCAGCCCATAGAGCAGGAAGAGCAGCTGCAGGGCCAGCTCCCCTCCCAGCAGATGGTCCAGGTAGGCCAGGCGGTCCTCGGTGCTGTGCTGCAGGGAGTAGGCCTGGTGGGGCAAAGGGGGGAGTGGGGTGGCACTGGGGACACTCATAGTGAGGGGTGTACCCCAGGGGTAATGGGAGGTGGCACTGGTGCCAATGGTGGCACTGGAAATGCTTGTCCAACGCTTCTCCCTCAGGGACAATGGGGGAACTGGAGTGCAGTGGCACTGGTGCCAGTGGTGGCACTGGTAGCACTGACTGGAGACTTCTCCCCCAGGGACAATGGGAGAAGTGGACTGTGGTAGCACTGGTGCCAATGGTGGCACTGGTAGCGCTCACCCAAGGCTTCTCCCCCAGGGACAATGGGAGAACTGGAGTGTGGTGGCACTGGTAGCACTGGTACCAGTGGTGGCACTGGCAACACTCATCCAAGGCTTCTTCCCCAGGGACAACAGGGGGCAAAGTGCCACTGGTGGCACTGGGAACACTCACTCAAGGCTCCTACCGCAGGGACAATGGGGGAAAATGGTGCCACTGGTGGCACTGGTGGCACCCACCTGAGCTTCTCCCAGGGACAACGTGGGGCTGGGGTGTGGTACCACTGGTAACACCCATCTGAGCTTCTCTCAGGGACAATTCGGGGCTGGGGTGTGGTGGCACTGGAAACACCCACCCCAGGAGGTTTCTCCCCAGGGAATTGTGGCTCCATCCCCCAAGCAGCAGCGGGGCAGGGATGTGTTCCTCGTACCTGGCAGATGAGGTAGATGCCCAGGAACACCTGGCCTGTGGACTGCAGGGAGCGGCTCCGTGGTTTCTGCCGGTACAGCTCCCCGGCACCGCTGGCCAGGATGAGGAACCCACCGATGATGGCGATGGTCCGGGAGTACATCCGCACCTGGGGGGGGTCACTGTCACCGTCACCGAACGCCCCCGGGCTCTGGGGGGTCTGTCACGGCCCACGGAGGGGCTCTCACCTTGAGCCAGTCGCCATAGTGCACGTGCCCCCCAATGTGGGCGGCGTAGGTGGCCACAGCAAGCTGCAGGGCGGCCCCCAGGGCGAACCAGCGCCGCTTCACCCCGAAGGACATGAAGCTGGCACAGAGCACGGCCACCCCCATGTCCACATACAGGTAGGGCACTGGGATGTCCGGCTTCCTGCGGGCATGGCAGCTTCAGGGTGTGCCCAGTGCTTCTGGGCAGGCTGGGCACCCCCAGGCTCACCCCAGACCCCCCAAACCCTCCTCTAGGTCATAATTCTGCCAAAACCCTTCCCCAGCCCCCCAAACTCTCCAGAC